GAAGGAGATAAGTCCTGGGTGTTCATTGGAAGGACTGATGCTGAAGCTGAAACTCCAATACTTTGGCCACCTCATGTGAAGAGTTGACTCACTGGAAAAGACCCTGATGCTTGGAGGGATTGGGGGCAGGAGGAGAAGGGGATGACAGAGGATGAGATGGCTGGATGACATCACCGACTCGACGGGCATGAGTTTGTGTAAACTCCGGGAGTTTGTGATGGACAGGGAGTCCTGGCGTGCTGCGATTCATGGGGTCACAAAGAGTCAGACACGATTGAGTGACTAAACTGAACTGAAACATGAGTGAAGTTGAGCATCTTTTCATGTGTTTTTTAGCCATCTGTGTGTCTTCTTTGGAGAAATGTCTGTTTAGTTCTTTTGCCAATTTTTGATTGGGTGGTTCATTTTTCTAATATTGAGCTTCATGAGCTGCTTGTATATTCTGGAAATTAATTTTTTGTTATTTGTTTCATTTGCTATTATTTTCTCCCATTCTGACTCATTCTATGAAGCCACCATCACCCTGATACCAAAACCAAAGATGCCATGAAAAAAGAAAAAAAAAAACAACTGCCCAGCAATATCGTTGATGAACATAGATGCAAAAAATCCTCAACAAAATTCTAGCAAACAGAATCCAACAACATATTAAAAAGACTATACATCATGATCAAGTGTGCTTTATTCCAGGGATGCAAGGATTCTTCAATGTTCATAAATCATTCAACATGAAACACCATATTAATAAGCGGAAAGATAAAAGCCATATGATTATCTCAATTGATGCAGATAAAACCTTTGACAAAATTCAACACCCATTTATGACATACCAGAAAACAGGCACAAAAGGGACATACCTCAACATAATAAAAGCCACAAACGACAGATCCACAGCAAACATTATCCTCAATGGCGAAAAACTGAAAGCATTTCCTCTACAATCAGGAACAAGACCAGGGTATCCACTCTCACCACTACTATTCAACATATTTCTGGAAGCCTTAGCCACAGCAATTAGAGAAAAAAGGGAAATAAAAGGAATCCAGATTGGAAAAGAAGAATCTCTTATTGTTTGCAGATGACATGATCCTCTACATAGAAAACCCTAAAGATGCCACCAGAAAATTACTAGACCTAAACAATGAATATAGTAAAGTTGCAGGATATAAAAGTAATACACAGAAATCCCTTGCATTCCTATATACTAACAATGAAAAGTATAAAGAAAAACTAAGGAATGAATCCCATTCAACACTGCAATGAAAAGAATAAAATATTTAAGAATAAATTTACCTAAATGAACTAAAGACCTGTATACAGAAAACTATAAAACCCTGATTATATTATATGAAAAAATCAAGATGACAAAAGTAATGGAAAAATACACCATGTTCATGGATTGGAATACTCAATATAATGAAAATGAGTAAAAAACCCAAAGCAATCATAGATTCAATGCAAAACCTATCAAACTAACAATGGCATTTTACACAGAACTAGAACAAATGATTTCACAATTTATATAAAAGCACAATAGACCCTGAATAGTCAAAGCAATCTTGAGAAATAAGAATGGAACTAGAGGAATCAACCTTCCTGACTCCAGACTACTACAAACTACAGTCATTAAGACAGTATGGTATTGGCAGAAAGACAGAAATATAGATCAGTGGAGCAAAATAGAAAGCCCAGAGATAAATCCACGCACCTAAGGACACCTTATATTTGAAAGGAGGCAAAAATATACAACGGAGAAAAGACAGTCTCTTCAGCAAGTGGTGCTGGGAAAACTGGTCAACTACATGTGAAAGGATGAAACTAGAACACTTTCTAATACCATACACAAAAATAAATTCAAAATGGATTAAAGACCTAAATGTAAGACGAGAAAATATAAAACTCTTAGAGGAGAACATAAGCAGAACACTCTCTGACATAAATTACAGCAAGATCCTCTATGACCACCTCCCAGAGTAATGGAAATAAAAACAAAAACAAATAGGACCTAATTAAACTAAAATATTTTGTACAATGAAGAAACTTTAAGCAAGGTGAAAAGACAACCCTCAGAAAGGGAGAAAATAATAGCAAATGAAACAACTGACAAAGACTTAATCTCCAAACTATACAAGGAGCTCA